TGTGTGTGTATACATATATATATATGTGTGTGTATGTATATATATACATTCACACACATATATATATATGTATGTATATACGTGTATATATGTGTGTAAATGTATTTGTGTGTGTGCGTGTGTCTGCATGTGTGTATTTTTTAAACTATAAACTTTATATCTAGTGGGTGCACGTTTTTGAATATACTTCACTCTTTTACATTACAGTGAAAATGTGCATATATATATATACATATGTATATATATATATATATATATATATATATATAAAAGTGAACATAGAAGTCAACACTTAGAGGCGATTCTATTCTGTTTACCATGCTTTGTTATATGCAAAATTTGTTTATATTTATTTTTTTTTTTGTTTCACGTAGTAAAATTTGTTTTAAAAAAAAAAAAAATAAATAAATAAATAAATAAATAAATAAAATAAATAAATAAGTACTATGTTGCTAAAAACCGAAAAACCAAAAAGAGAAAATATAAAAATAAATTGACCTAAATTCTTCCAAGTAAATAAATAGGCAAACCAATCCCAAATTAAAAAACTGTTCCGCTAAAAAAAATAATAGTTAGAATGAACTACAACAACCAACCCAAAAATTGTACAAATAGCTTTAATTAAATTCTCAAACCAAAACAAAACTGTTAAATACGTGATATAAACAAATTTTACTACGTTAATAAATAAATAAATAAAATAAGAAAAAAAAAAAAAAAAAATAAATAAATAAATAAAATAAAATAAAAAATAAATAAAAACGAGCAATATAACTTGACCCAAATAAATGAACAAAGCGACTTCCGGTAAAAATAACCGCCATAATAGAATACCCACAATGCACCACTAACCCGTATATATATAAATAGCCGAGAAAAAATAACAGCACACGTGGCCTGACGATTGCATATAGCATGAAACAGACTGTCGCCTCTAAGTGTTGACTTCTATGTTCACTTTTATATTTACACACGCTCTATCTCTGATATTGAGCACTTTATCCCATAAATATAGCACACCTTAAGACTATATTTCTTTATATATATATATATATATATATATATATAGATATATTATAAATTAACTGATTTAAAAATATGTTTCTTTCGCTACACAGGAGTTACCATGTTTCAAAAACCGAAGTTAAAAACTTCAAATTTATTTATATAATTAAGTTAAAAGCATTATTTCTGTTTCATCCAAAATATCTTTGAAGATGAAACATAACTAATGCTTTTAATTTAATTATATAATTAAATCTGAAGTGTTTAGCTTCGGTTTTTGAAACATGGTAATTCATGTGTAGCGAAGAAACTGTATTTTCAAATCATTTAATTTATAATATAATCTTTTCTTCTCGCTAGTGCGCTAGTGCAGTTATACTTCAGTCGCTTGCTTTCCAGTTAATTTTCTAATCTTCTAAAATTTAAATGCAATATCAAACATTCGCTTCTGTCTGTCCTAATTGCTCTTCTTTTATTGTTTTTAGACCTTAAGAAGGTTGACTGATTCTTTCACACTCAGTAACCCCAAACATCTTAGTGATTTTATTGCTTCGGAGAGAAATGATTCAAAAAATATTAAAATGTAGTCTTTATAATTATAATATGAGTAACGCGTTAAATTTTTACTTGACTTAAAAATACATAAATTTATGAATAAATATTTTAAAGTTTCCCGCGGGTGGGTGGATAGGTGTTTAAATTAGAGGATTTAAATAATAAAATTACTTATGTTACTTTGCATCATGTATTCACTGAATCTCGCGGATGTGGATGGTCGGAAACCTGGTGGCCACTCCGACTAGATTATGAAAAAGAAATTGACAGGACATAAAAGGGCGTTGCCGTGGTGTTTGTGGGTAGGGTGCTGAGGACATGGGAAGTCAGTCGAATAACAACAGACGCGAACTTGTTTTAGAGGGACAGGGATTATGTTGGCGACATGTGTGTCCGAAAGGCGCACACGCGCGCAGACACATATAAAAAGGTGGGAGTAAAGGGGGGAGAGAGGGGAGAGGGGGAGGGGAGAGAGGGGAGAGGGGGGAGAGAGGGGGGAGAAAGATGCACGTTGAGAGATGTCGAAATGGTTAGCTATAAATATTACAAGAGTTATGAGCCTTTGTAACCAAAAGACCACCTGCAACCAAGCGATGGTTAACAAGCCAGTCTTGCAAATACTATAAAGAGTACGATTCTCAATGGGTAATTTTGTACCAAACTAAGCAAATCTAGTAAACATGATCAGGTCACAATATACAGTATTGTTCATCCGTTAAAAGGCCCAAGAGCCACTCAAGGTAGAGATTTACTGATAGTGGATGTAAGGATGCAAAGGGAAGTAAGTAAGAAGTGAATATGTAGGATAGATAAAGATTGACCCTACAACTTGAAGAAGTTAAGATCGTAGCGACCAGGAAAGCATCCACGCGGGAATCTGTTCAGCAAAGTAACAGTTCTTGGAAAGAAATTCCTTCTTATCAGGATGACATGGTGAGTCCTAACTGTGTAACGTTGCAGCTCAGACCAGACCCCAGGTTCGTTCTCAGGGAGCAGCTTCTTCCAGTCAACCGCTTGTGAGTTAAAGAAATAACTCTTTAACTAGTTCTTCACCCACGAAATGAAACCATGAGTCTAAATTTGTTGTGGCCTTGTTAGGGTCAAAAATAACGACACAAAGAAAGGAATTGAGTTAAACAAATATATTAACAGAAACAGTGATACAAACATATACAAACGAGAGTGTTACAGCAAGAAGGCTCGGTCCGACTGTCAGAGCTGACTGCTGGATACTTCCCTCTCCAAAAGGCAATACCTGCTCCTATTTATAGCTGGGAGATACCGTGCGTGCGTGGGTAAATTACCATAACAAAATTGTAGCAGTAGACAAATTTTATTCGGTTGTAACCGTCAGTTGTAGACGAGCGAAGCGGAGGTGAAGAGTTGAACAGTCTATCTGTCGTGTCTTACTTTTCGCGTCGCCGTGAGCTGTCTCTTGTCCGCTTTCTGTCCACTTTCTGTGGGTCTCTCTGCTTTCGGCTGCTAGTGACCACTGTCTTATAGAGTACAGCGTTCTTTGTCTTGTCGTCTTTGTTTAAAAACGTCATTCACCAGAAACTGAAGTTCTGGCTTCACTCAGTGACCCATTTTGTCATGATCGTTTGACATGTTTCTTATGAGGTCCACTTTGCTTAGATGACTATAACTGTCTGAAATAATTTCTATAAAATCCCTCAGACGTTTTCATTTAACAAGATATCGGCTGACACTGAGATCGCTACAAATACATCAAGCCTGGTTAATTAGTATCATTAAATCATTATCAGCCCTAGCTGTGAAGGTCTAACTCCATTTTTTCGGTGGAGATGTTGTTGGCTAGAAAATAATTTTCAGCCACTGGACTGCGTAAAAGTATTCGAACTCTGTCAAAGTAGGAAAGTGAGCACTGGGCAGAATCAGTGGGAGATGTGGCAACAATATTTTTGAAATTTTTGATGTTTTGAAAATTTGAAATTTTTGAAATTTGAAATATTTAAAATTTAAAAATTTGAAATTTTTAGACATTTCTGAAATTTGAAATTTTTGGAATCCTTGAACGTTAAAATTTTTGAAATTTGAATTTTTAAAAATTTTTGATATTTTTGAAATTTAAAATTTTGGATATTTTTGAAATTTGAAATTTTTGACATTTTTCAAATTTGAAACTTTTAACATTTTTCATATTTTTTTAAATTTGAAATTTTTGAAGCATTTGAAATTTTTGAAGCATTTGAATTTTTTTAATTTGAAAATTTGAAATTGTCTGATCTAACTCTTGTCAAGATATGATAGATGGCGTCAGCTATTTTCTTGAATGCAACCGACTTCTTTTCCATCATCTTTAGCGATGTTCCGAATACAGGAGTTCCATTTGAGGTCTGGAGTGGGCTTCGAAATAAGTGTTTAAGACAAGGAATCTCTTTGAGGGTGTGGCCACTCATCAAGATTGGTGCTAGCTTAGGGTCTGCTCGATGGTGATGGAATGTTACTTGTTTAGTTTGGGATGTATTAAATGATAGCAGCCAGTCCACTGAGTTGTGAGAGTTCGGTTAAGGGAGAGATTAGCTGCCAGGCCCTGATTATTAAGGTATTTGAAGCCCCCTGTGGTATCATCTGTAGCTGGTGCGGTCGTTACAAGTAACCAACCATTCTTCCAGCATCTTTTGCAATGGCACGGATTTCCGAGTTCCACTTGAGGCCTAGAGTTAGCTTTATTCCTCATAGACGTTACAGGTAAAGAGCCTCTTTATGCGGAAATAAGCACCTCATCCACGCCGTTATTATTTTACTGGGTTTGACCCTCACTGTATAACTTACAAAGTATGCCAGGCGAAGTTAAGCTTTGTAAACACATACAATTACATATTATCGTTAACCTTTTCATTGTTATAACATTGTTGTATGGCCTTGCTGGCCCGTTCTGGGATACATATGAAATTGACATTCTTCTTTTTCTTTATGCTTTATCTCTTCAAGACGTTAGCGCACATGGCATACCCCAATCTTCTGTCCTTTGTAGCTCTTAATAAATGTTGTCTTTTCGCTATCTCTACTCAACCATTTACACAAGCTTCTTCTTCTTCTTTTTCTTCTTCTTCTTCTTCTTCTTTTTCTTCTTCTTCTTCTTTTTCTTCGTCTTCTTCTCGTCTTTGCTTTTTCTTCTTTTACGCTATATGCCTCACCTTTCTCCACTCCCCTTTCCTCCTCCTCCTCCTTCTTCTTCTTCTTCTTCTTCTTCTAGTCTTTGCTTTTTCTTCTTTTACGCTATATGCCTCACCTTTCTCCACTCCCCTTTCCTCCTCCTCCTCCTTCTTCTTCTTCTTCTTCTTCTTCTTCTAGTCTTTGCTTTTTCTTCTTTTACGCTATATGCCTCACCTTTCTCCACTCCCCTTTCCTCCTCCTCCTCCTTCTTCTTCTTCTTCTTCTTCTTCTAGTCTTTGCTTTTTCTTCTTTTACGCTATATGCCTCACCTTTCTCCACTCTCCTTTCCTTCTTCTTCTTTGCTTTTTCTTCTTTTATTCTATGTTATGTCTCATCTTTCTCCACTCCCCTTTCCTCCTCCTCCTCCTCCTTCTTCTTCTTCTTCTTCTTCTTCTTCTTCTTCTTCTTCTTCTTCTTCTTATCATACTACCATGCTCCTTCAGGACGTGGGCTATGATTGCTCTCCACAATTTCATGTGAAATTAGAACAATCTCCTCCCCGCCGTGGACTAAATAAAGGATTCTGTTCGAAATTTTCCAACGCTACTGCGAGTTGGGATTGGCTCTCCAAGCCGCTATTTATCAAGATGTCGCATTGTTGAAGCATCAACTACGGTGAGATTCGAACCCGGGTTTCAGGGTTGGAGTGCTAAGGTTCTAACCATTCGACCAATATTTGTTATCGATTGTAGCTGCTTTAATACATACACAGACACAAATAAAGGGTTCGGTTCGAAATTTCAAATATAATCTGAAGAATGCCGGAGCGTCCAACGACCGAAACGTCACGAATGTGCCAATAAAGATGAGGACAACAGTCGGAACAATGTAAGTAGTGTAAATAAGTTGAACAAGGTCAGTACAGTCAAACCTTTGGATATATATATATATATATATAGTTATACTCGATTGGAAAAACCTTAGGTATCTTAGCTTGTAATTGAATAAACCAATGCCCAACGGAAAATAAGGGCTAAAAAAAGAAAGAACTAAGAACATGAAATTGACGCGAAAACAATCGTCCAGAATTCAAGTTCAGAATCCAAAGAAAAAAACTTCCAAAACGAGTAAAAGCAAAAGTAACTATGTAAAGTGCTCAATACGCTAAGTAGAGCAAACTTAATTATGAATCTAAAGAGCCAGGTAAACCTACCTAGGTTTCACCTAAACGGATTGTCATGGTAAACTGGCCAGTTTACCCTGACGAGCCGTGTAGGTGAAACCTAGGTAGGTTTATCTGTCTCTTTAGGTTATATATATATATATATATATATATATATATATACACGGTGAGTGTGTGTGGGGGGTGTATGTATGTATGTGTAAAAATGTGTTTACTAATTCCTCGTAGTGAGATAGTGTGTATGTATGGAGAGGGAATATACACATATATACACACATGCTGACAGAAACACACGAAAATGGAAATATATCTAAGAACACACAGGGGTCATTAAAACATAAGATACCGATAACTAATTCATCATTTCTCTCGAACCAACCTTCATTGTTTTATAACCCTTCGCGCAGAACTCTTCACTGCCAGTTCAAGAAAGACATTCGAATTACTAACACAAAAACAGAGAATGTCTTCGAAAAACATAAAGGAGAAAAAAATGAATTATTTTTAATAATATGTGGAAATTTCCACCCTTTGCCTGATGACGGTCGCGAGACCAAAAACACGTGTAGTAAAATTATGGAAAATAAAGAATAATACTTTTTTAAAAAAAGAAAAAAAAACTACATTACAACCAAAAACATTTGCGGTACCTCTCTCCTTTTTAATATACACACTTTTCTATCGTTGGAACTACTATAACGTCTTGCGTATATATATATATATATATATATATATATATATATATATATATATAAGCGTATTTCTCCTATGTTCTTTGGCTGGTAGTGTTATTTTATCCTAAGCCAACGAACGGACATCTAGAGTATGGACAATTCTGTAAAAATTCTATTTGCATACACTCATCTCGGCAACCAGCTGTAGACACATTCTCAGATGGAAATACGGATGTAAGGACCAGCACGTGCCGAATAATAATCCCCAGTGTCCCTTTCCTACCCACTTTATATTCCCCCACAGCCTTTGTGCATTGTTTAAGACGTCATTACAACGAAGTCACCAATCCGTAGCGCCAACTAACATCGCCTTCTCGTCACTGATACGGTCCACCATATTTAACTTCACTCCAGGGCGCGCGCTTGTATTTCTATGTGTGCGTGTGAGCGCGTGCGCGCGGGTGTGTGTGTTTGTGTGTTTGTGGAGGAGTGCCGGTCCGCAAACTGAAGGCATCAAGTTCATAAAGAGAATAGAAAAATAAAAAGGCTCGCCCCTTTTGCAATCCCCTACCCTTGATCCAGCCCCTCCCAGCCAAGCACGCCACAACGCCCTCGAGTCTCTTAACAATGGAAACGGTGAATTGCATGAGTTTCGGACGAAGAAATAACGTACTTTCTCCCGTGACCCTAAATAAGCTCAACACCTCCCCATCTCCTACCACTAGTAATTCTTTACTATAGGACGCCATGTCAAAGCCAAGTCCAACGTCCACCTTAAGTTTTGTGTTATCTTCCTTCCTTATCACGCCCGGATATAAAGGCTTATTTCCAGAGTAGAAATTATTTGACTTGATGCTATGACAAGCAGCTGGTGGATAAAAGGTTAGTGAATTTTCCCAGAATTCAGTATTCGAGTCTTGGTATAGGTCAGTATTATTTAAGAACTTTCTATCAGCTGAAACAGAAGTGCGCCTGCTTCTCCACAAAACGCTGTATTTGTAAAATCCCAGAAAGACTAATTAAAAATGAAATAACTTTTCTTCAAGTCAAATTTTTAATCGCATTTCCAAGGTTCTGATTCTGAATGTGGTTTTATGGCACACTGACTACTATATAATGGTCATATAGTGCCAAACAAGGATTTTCAAGTAGATTCTCATAGTCTTTAATCCCATCTCCATGGTTCTGTTTTTGAATATTTTTAAAAAGGCGATACTTTTCTTTTTATTCAATCTTTAAAGATACACAATATTGTTGACATCAAATTTGAAATTCACTTTCGTTTCTCTATCACTGTTTCTAAATTTTGTGACGTACGTTGGTCGTTAATAATTAAGTTTCACTCAAGAGTTCAATGTTAAAATAAAACAGTATTTAATTACAACAACAAGAACCAAGAAATAAAGTCAGCTAAAGATAATTAACCATTTCAGTGAATACCTTGTTAGTAACGTGGCTCGGTTTAACCTCGGGTAAATCCTAAATCAAAACATCGACTCACAATAATTCACACTAATTCGACTGGATAGTTTCACTCAATAATCATTGCAGTCAGTAGCCTGACACCGCTATTTATACACCTGGAGGAAAACATATATTCATAAGTCCAGAGTGCCACGCTCGAACCCCGGTGTCGGTAGTTACTCATTTTCTTCTTATAGTGATTTTCCAAACATTCCTTAGATGTGGCACAAGGCCGAAAGTAGGGGGCACCCAGTGAGGATCGAACTCACTACTCAGTCGTAATTGTTCTAGCGAGACAAGCTTGCTAACCATTACACCTCCTCGAGGTGCCCTATATATATATATATATATATATATATATATATATATATATCTTTTTCTGTCTGCACATTATCTATCTATCTATCTATCTATTTCAGTCTGCACATGATCTATCTATCTATCTTTTTCAGTCTGCACGTTATCTATCTATCTATCTATCTATCTATCTATCTTTTTCAGTCTGCACATTATCTATCTATCTTTTTCAGTCTGCACGTTATCTATCTATCTATCTATCTATCTTTTTCAGTCTGCACGTTATCTATCTATCTATCTATCTATCTATCTTTTTCAGTCTGCACATGATCTATCTTTTTCAGTCTGCACATCTATCTATCTATCTATCTATCTATCTATTCCGGCCTCTGCGTATATCTATCTATCTATCTATCTATCTATCTATAATCGCCCACTCGAATTCTAACCATGCCTAACACTCTATGCCTACCAGAATTCAAAACCACATAAATAATACATGTCACACAGTCAAAATATAAAAAGTAACTAATACCACTCCACCCTGAAAATTGCTAAAGGAGTGACTGAAATCGCTAGGGACAATCGATGATATGGACAGTGTTTGTACTCCCTCACACCCGACAAACAGAAAAATGTAAGAACGCTGGAAAAACGTATATAATGAAATGAATTAAGTGCGACATTCATTTAATACATTTTCTGTTTATACGTTATATTTATAGATACAATTTATTTAATTAAATACTCTGTTTTTAATTAAACAGTATGAATTACATTTACCGGCCTGAATGTCCGAGAAATTTCGTAGAAAGTATACATTCTCCAACAGGAATCGAGCCTGTATTCCTATAAGGAAACTTTCATGTGATCTGACGTGCTATAGCATTTACCTACAAAGAAGAGTCTAAATTACTGTTTTTAAACACACACGACGATTTTTGTTGAGCGATCATTTCTGCTCAAGAAACATATCTCAACCTAAACAATGACAACATATTATGAAATGGATTAAGTCCAACAATTATTTATTTACTAGCAGCCCGGGGATGTAACAGTAAGAGATAGATCAAGTATCGACCATCATAAAGACTGAAAAATAAAATTGACAAAGATTATTGTTTAAGGTTGACGGACACGCATGTCTTAATTACTTTTTTTTTTTACGAATTGGTCAAACCCAAACTCAAACAAAAAGATTGTTTTCAATCGGTATGAGTCTACCGATTGAATACAATTTTATTATAAACAATTGTCTTGTAAATGGAAGTTTTAAAGCATTCTCAATATTAAAAATAAAGAAAAAATGTGCAAGAAACACTACCTGCCAAAAAAAAGTGAAGTTTTGTTGAAATCGGTTGAAAAATGTACGAAATCCGATTCCATATATAAACACACCCACACACCCACACAAACAAACAAACAAACAACCTATGTTTTATAATAAGTATAACTCAATATGAGTTGTCTCCCTTTCATTCTGGCGACAGTGATGCCTCTTAATCGTGTTTTCAAATTGATTTCGCGCAAAAACAATTGTGTTTTTCCAATTTTTGGCGCTGTCAGAACCACCGCAAGGTAATTTTACGTAGTCCTGTGAAGTTTTGTTGAAATCGGTTGAAAAATGTAGGAAATCTGATCCAATAAACGAACAGACACACACACACACACACAACCTGGGTTTTATAGTAAGTATGATATTTGCTAACGCTTCTCTGTACCTAAATGTGTTGCATTGATTATCATTTTGTTATAAGAATGTTGTTGGTCATTTTATTAAATAATACTTTCAGACTATTATTTTTTAGTGGCAGTGTATTTTGGCTCAGAGTTTCTGAGACTGACCTTTGAGGTCAGATAGTAGGCAAAATAGGGAAGTCGATTTTGATTGGCTGAGCTTAACGTGAGAATGAGATATAGATTAAGGTCTTTCGGGAATTGTCGTTCGGACGTCGAGCTAAGTCGATGTGTCAGATTGCATTTGTGCACCCCCCGCTTAGTGAGGAAGGTCGTTGGTTGTTACACGACAAAGGAAATGGACTTGTGAGATTTTCGTATTTGAAAGTGGCTCCCTAATAAGGGGGTGTAGTAACTCACACTTGATAGAAGATGTATCCGTCGATGAGGTTAATAAAATAAAAGTAAAGTTAAAAATTCTTTTACTTAATGTTTTTCGTCTCTGTCGAGAGGGTATGCAACAATTTAATGTTGTTAATTTTAGTAAATAAAAGGTATAGTTTGTAATTTTCTTTATAGAAATATATTGCTGGTAATTCCGTTGTAAAAATGTATTGTTGGCAATTTTTATAAAATCATTACAATGTATGCAATTTTTTTCAGTTTTACTCGGTGTTGAACTCAGTGTTCACTTTTATATTTAAATACGTTCTCTCTATGATAACGAGCATTTTTACCCATAAATATAGAATAACTTAAAACTATATTGGCATCATATCTATCTATCTATCTATCTATCTATCTATCTATCTCTCTCTCTCTATATATATATATATATATATATATATATATATATATATATATATATATATATATATGAAGGAATATAGTATTAAGGTGTGCGATATTTATGGGATAAAGTGCTCAATATCAGAGATAGAGCGTGTATGGCCTGACGATTGCGTGTAGCATGAAACAGACTGTCACCTCTAAGTGTTGACTATATATATATATATATATATATATATATATATATATATATATATATATAAAAGGCTTAAACATTAATATTCCATATTTTATTCCATTGCAATCGTAAATACGATCCAATTCATCAGACCTACAAATTCAAAAAGAAAACTGAAAAAAAAAAACAACTCCGGAAATAAAAATAGAATTTAGAGAGAGTGTAATTATGAGAGTGTGGGACGAATGTTAGAGCTAAAGAGAGGGGTAACAGACGAGAGAAGGTGGGAGATTAAACCTTAACAGAGAGAAGTTTAGGAGAGGTGAGTGGAATGGGGAAATATGAATGAATATTAAAGGTACATTTCGTGGTGTGTTTGTGTGTGTGTGTGTGTATAATCGCTCGCTCGAATTCTAACACTGCCTAACACGCCATGCCTATATAATGATAGTCATTTACTATAAAATTGTTATAGGAATAAAGTTTCGCTGCCGACACTTGAGTTTGAACAGAGGTCGCTAGTGAGCAAACAGAGACCACGTGACCATAGAGGAAACGCAAGGAAGTAGCAGACGACAAACGATCGCCATTTCTAGTCTATCCTCTATACTATCCTCTATCTCTATTCCTATACGGATCGCATTTCTCTTCTTTATTCACTATACTATTTCTCTATTCGGATCACTCTACGCTGGTTACTATTCGAGCTAGAATTATCGAGCAAGTACTATTAGTGCGAGTGTTATTCGAAGGCGTCTGACACCAGTATTGTTCAACGGCGTTACTATAGTTGTATCTGCGATTACAAAGTCTCTACTACATCGAGCATTACGAAAGTGACAAGGAGTATCGTTGACATCACAAAAGTGGCAACGAGTGTTCGCTGACATCACAAAAAATGTATTGTTGGTAATTCTTTTTTTAAAATATGTGTTTTTATACATTCCTAGTGTTTTGAATTTTGTTTGGAAGTTTACTATTTAACCATAGCAGGGACCCTAACAGGTGCTACTACCCTGGGTCAGGGTGGACCTGTGAACAACAACAACTAAACGGTGCTTCCAGGCTCCTCAAAACCTCCCGATTAGAGGCCTTGCTACCGGATGTAGTTTATCGTCGTACCCAGGATTATAAAGAAAAGTAGCTGCGGCCGGAAAATATTACACTGAAGATTTTCTTTTTCTGCTTGAAGCTATAACCTTTATAAACATAACAACATCTTTATAAACATAACAACAACTTTATAAATAGCATAACAACAATTTTAGAAACATAACAATATCGAAGCTGAGCAAGATATTTTCGATTTCATGAACATTTTAAATTGGTGGATGTATATTATTCATTTGTCGGACATTGATGGGCATTTGTTTATATTGTAACTGGGGTAAGAGTTGATGAAAATGTTTTCGGTTTCGTTAAAGGATTTTATTTATTTAGACATTGATAAGTCATTTATTTTCGTTTTTATTTCTTCATGGTCTTGTAAATAGTCTGAAAAATCATCCCAGATTTTTACCCCACCCCGCTGTTCATTAGATTTTCACCCCAGTTTGTTATCCTTCACCATTAAAAAAAAACAATCTATATTTATCAGTTATGATACTCCCTTTAATTTGCTTATATCAAATAGCGCTTAAAACACCTGTTCTCCTCCCATCACCGAAGTTAAGCAATATCGAGACCTGTCAGTACTTAGAGGGGGGGCATTTTAGAAAATGGAATGCTATAACCTACTTCAATTCGAAATATATTTCGGCTTTAAATAACCAAAAAAGGGTAGATAAACCGTAAAAATATACCTTCCTTTTATATAGTAGCTGCGGTGCGTCTTGGGCAACATATCTTGAAGGAGTCCATCATTCTTTAGGTTCTTTTTCCTTCTAGATAGGTTGCCCACCACTAGGCTAGTGAACATGGTTAGCTTTTCTTTTTAACCCACTGCCGAGAGGGGTGAGAGAGAGAGAGAGAGAGAGAGAGAGAGAGAAAGAGAGAGATGGGTCTCACACCTTGGTTGCCAACCAAGGCTATAGGACCAAGTCTATCCTGCTATTTAACCTATACGTGGGGTGGGGGCAAATAAGAGATGGATTCAAACCTTCCCCAAAGAACGTAACAAACTCGATCGGAATTCGAACTCGGCATGTCGATTTCGCTTTCAGTGCTGATAACCGTTACTCTAGTAGCATGTTAATTAAAACTAAACGCTACTAATGCCACTTAAAGAGAAAAGTAAACAAACCTTTGGGTCTCCTAGCAGGAATGAAAAGTAAGAACAAAGAACGAATTTCGATTACTATCATTTTGTAGGGATCTGTAGCTAAACGCTCGTTTATGTTTCAAAATTATTTTTTTTTTTTAATTTAAAATATTACAACATTTCGCTTTGGTTGGTAAAGTGGTGACACTTTTCTCATCAGTATTCCCAGTTCTTCCCCTTTTTAGGGATGTGCGGGGGGAATGTTCTTGCCGCTTTTCCTACTGAGAAAACGTTACAGCTCGCAGCGGCAAAATTCGACGCCCAATATCATTTTTTTTCGTGATTTTTGAATGCTTGGAGCTCTCCACACAAAGAAGAAAGGAAATGAGTTGCTATGTGAGGGGGGTTGTTTTCTGAAAAAAAATAAAAAAAATAGATAAATAAATAAATAACAAACAAACAAACAAAGAACAACCCCAAAACCAGTTTAATCAGTTTTCTAGAAGCGGAAAATTTATTTGGAAAAAGTGATGGAAGATGATTGCAAATAAAACTAAAGTGTGTGTGGTCGGGGGCTGCCTGTGTTGTGGGATTGTTTGCATCGTTGAGCGCAG